GACAATTCCAAGAACAGAGAAAGGAAAAGGCCGTCTCTAGCTGGAGGCGGATCCCGTGAGGTACTTCCCTCTTAACATCTGGTTGGGCTTTCTCTCTGCAATGTTCCACAATTCCAAATTTCTGAAAGATTGGAAGGATACGGGGAGGGAAGCGAATCTTGGGTACCAACTAGGTCCCTGGCACTGCTGTGGGGGTGTTATCTGTTTATGTGGCAGCCAGCATGATCTCTCCTAGGGAGAATTCAAATCATGTCACTCTCCTGCTTAAAACCCTCCTCCAGTGACTTCTCATTCCAGTGGTCAACCTTGGCTCTCCATCAGAATCACGGGGGAGCTTTAAAAAAACCCCACATGCCCAGGCTGCACTCCAAATTATATCAGAATTGGTGGGGGTGGGGCCAGACATCAGTGTTTGTTTAAAGCTTCCTGGGTGATTCCAATGCACAGTCAGTACCAGGAACCATTGCGTTAGACCCTGAGTTAAATCCAAACTTCTGACCAAAGCCAGGGGGCCCTGAGTGATCTCAAACCCCATCTTCAAACGCTCATCCTCTGTCTTAACTCAGGTCAAGCTACTGGTCTTTCAGTTCTCTGGTTTGTGTGGACCAAAGAACTTTCCATACTTTCCATCACAGAATGATCATACTTTCCATGTCCACAAAGATCCTTTGCGATCTGGCCTCTGCCCACCTCTCCAGCCTCTCCTGGGGCTCCTCCCCCTCTCCCCACTGCCCTTCTTTCTGTTCTTTAAATCTGTCTCTCCTTCCAGAACCTCTGCACCTGCCATTCCCTTTACCTTCTTCTGGTAACACATTCTTTGCCCAGGTCCTCACATGTGTGACCTGTCATTCAGGCCTCTGAGAAGCCTTCTATGACAGGCCACCTCTAACCTACCCCCGGTCAGTTTTCATCTCATTACTTCGAATTGTTTCCTGAATAGCATATCACCGTCTGAAGTTATCTTGTTTGTCTGCTTGTTTTTTGTCTCCCTCTGAGAAGTTAAGCTCTATGGGAGCTGAGCCCCACCTAGGTATTCTTCATTGCTGTACCCCCCATGCATTGGTATGTAGCAGATGTTCAGTAAATATTTGTTGAATGAAAGAATGAAGGCATAGCATGTCACTCAAGTATTGGCTGAATGAAGGGTCTCATTTGATTCTCCTAACAACAGGTGTTAGCACCATTGTATAGATAATTCATCAGGATTGGAGGTTAAGTAATTTTTCCAAGGTTGCAAATCATGGCAGAGGTTCACAGGCTCTTGCCACTGAAGGAAGAGTAGGTTATTGGGGGGAAAATGGGAAGCAGACATCCTTTTTTTCAGATTATGGATTTTTGGGGACTCTGCCATCACTAGAAACGGCAACTCCTTCACTAATTGGCAAAGATATGTAATTAGGTTTTAATTGTGGGCTTCTGAAGGGGCTATTTTAAAACCACATCTGTTGCAGACTTTGGTGGAATCTCACCCTCTGACCTTCAAGAGGGTGATGGAAGGGCAATTGCGATGATTTGGAAACGAAGGGAAAACCTCGTGATTTTGGGGTGACATGCTCTCAGCCTGCCCATAGGAGCTGGGGGCTGGAAAAAGCAGCAGGGCTCCAAATCTCAGGGACTCCCCTGCTGTTGACTCATAGCAATTGTCAGCTGGTTTCTGCAGAGATCTGCACCCTACACTGAGACGAGAACCGGCGTGAGTCATACAGTGATGGTCTCTGTAGCCGGCCAGCCGATGTTACAGGGCTGAAAAGGAATGTGGATTTTGGCTTCCTCTGCACGGTTCGTCCAGGAGCCTTTATCAGTATGGGAAACCAAGAGCATCCTGATCCTCAGCTTCACATCTGGATTTAAAAATAATAACAACAAGAGGTGATGAATTAGTCTGCTAAGGCTGCCATAACAAAATACCACCGACTAGGGGGCTTAACCTCAGATGCTTATTTTCTCACAGTTCTGGAGACTGAAGTCCAAGATCAAGGTGCTGGCAGGTTTGGTTTCTCCTGAGGCTGCTCTCCTTGGCTTGCAGATGGTGCCTTCCCACTGTATCTTTCCTCTGTGCATGGGCATTCATTCTTGGTGTCCGTGCGTCCACATTTCTTCTTCTCAGGACACCAGTAAGACTGGATTCGGGCCCACCCTAATGGCCACATTTTAACTTGGTTACCTCTTCAAAGACCCTGTCTCCAAACATAGTCATATTCTGAGTACTGGGGGTTTGGGCTTCAACATAGGAATTTTGGGGGGACACAGTTTAGCCCCTAACAGGTGATATTTATTGAATGCTTATTACCTGTTAACCTCATGCAAATTATTTTACAAACATCACCTCACATAATTTCCCCAAATACCCTGAAAGTTTAGACTATTATTATAACTCATTTCATAAAACCAAAAAACTGAAATAGAGAAGGAAATTGTCCAAGTTTTCACAGTTAAAAGCGCCAGAGCTCAGATTCAAGCCTGGGTATCTCTGATTTTGCACTCTTTTCTCATAAAGTCTGTGCTAAATTGCTGAATGCTACAATTCTGGCTTGTCTCTTCTCTCCTTGTGAAATCGCTGTTACGTATATTTTTTTGAGTAGTAAATATCTGTTTTTTATGTCTCACCTGTTCTCTAATAATTTTTATCTCTTTATTCTAAAAAAATAAAGAGATCCTGGGAGATTTTCTTGAGCTTGATCTTTGTCACTTATTCATTTTTCTGCCATAACTAATCTGTTCTTTCTATTTGTGTAAAAAATTCACGAAGGAAATTTTCTCCCTTTCAGGTCACTTTCCTGTTCATGATGTTTCTTCTCCATGCTTGCCCCTTCGTGTTTCTGTGAGAACAATGAGGAAGGGAGTATCAGCTGGGTACTGTATGAATTAAACATAATGATTACGTAGCCATGACTTCTGAGAGGAAGGTATGGCAGTCTGCTTTAGAAATCATCTCAGGTAAAACAAAGCAAAACAGACCAGGAACGACCTAGGGGGGCTGCCTGCATGCCCAGAGAAATCCTCCCCGATGTCCAGGACATGGACATGTTGGCCATTGAAGCCATGCTCGCTTCACTATCTTCTCTACTGTTCATCAGCCCGCTCGCTTTTCCCTCTCTCTGATGTTCAGTCTCTCAGTATGAGACCAGAAACCCTGCCCCAGGTGTGAATCCCCTCCAAGCTGCAGAAAAGCTGAAGAGCAGCGGGTTAGGAACACCAGTAAGAAGCAACAGCGTTTGGCAGCATAGAGACGGAAGAGAAGTTGAGCATCACGTTGAGGTTTAAGCCTCAGGGTTGAGAATTTAAAGCTCTGATTTACCTTGCACTCGAAGCACCAGCATAACTTCAAGGCCCACTGAAGTTTCCCTTTCTCTCAATGACCTCGTGGCCTGTCTGGTCTACTGCAGAAGGAGGGGGTGCAGGCTATCCCAGCTGAGTAGTGTTGTCCTGTGTGGAGATTTTTTTGGCATTCTCTGCACTTCCAGAGAGAAATAAGAAGAGAGAGCTGGGTTATTTCTTTGCTGGAGAAGCAGGGAGGTTGGCTCCATGACGGACTCTGAGCTAAGTGCCCTGACTCTTGCCAGATGTCTTCTCTGTCAACCAAGCTCCCCCAGAGGTGTTTCCAGTGCCTCTGGCTCCCCTCTCCCCAACCCCACGTGTTTGTTTAGATTCAAAAAAGGGGTTGATTGTAGCAGCCTCTGGGCACACAATTCAAAAATACTCAAACCACAAGGAGAAATTTGCCCAACTCGCATTGTACCCATCCACACAGACCTGCCCCCAGCTATACTGAGGGGGACTTTTCATAGCAGCCTGAAGGTCAGTGCTACTGTCCTATGCCAAATCTGAGCAGTTCAGGCTTCAAATCACTTTCTGAATACTCTGTGAGATGGGCTCAGAGAAACAAGGCCAATGACCTTGAGGCTGTGCATACAGGTGATGATTATAACAGGGTGATCCGGAAAGGAGAGGCTCCATCATCTCCAGGAAGCCCAGCCCCCAATCTCCTTGATCTTGCTCATGCTGGTCTTCCGTTTTCCTTTCAGTCCCTTTCTCTGCCTGCCAAAATTTGACAACTCTTTCTCAGTCTAAATTTTAGAAATCACCTGTTTTTATGAAGCTTTCCCCTGTTCTGAGAATTAACTTCATCTGCACTCTGTTAGCACTGTGCATACACCTCTCATTCATAGGTTCGATAAATATTTATTTACCAGATCCTGGGGGCTGGTCTTTTGTTAGGCAATGGAGATACAGTGGTGAACGACATAGATAAGGCCGTAGCTTTCTTGGGGCTTACTTTCTAGGTTGCAGAGACAGACCAAAAAAACTCTCAGCAATGTATTTCTCTCCCCCGCTAGGTCGTGAGCTGCATTATCATCATAGTGGTCATCGCCATCCTCGTCCCCCACATCTTGCCAAACCCCTCTATCACTTACTATGTGCCTGGCTCTTCAGGCACCACCTGTTAACTCACGTAAGGCAGGCACCATGCCTTACTCACCCTGTGTACCGCCCTGATCCCCGCAGCCCATAGTGCCTAGCATCATGCCTGCCATGTGGTAGACACTCAATTCATCCTTGTTGAATTCATGATTCATCTATTGTCATATAATTAATTCTAAGGAAGCCTAGGCAGGTGATGTTCGTAACAGAAATATTTGAATCCAAAGGGACCTCAGGAATAAATTTGTCCTGTTCTTCTTAACCCAATCTCCTGAACATATTCAAACATACACACAGGGTCTAACTAGGGAAACGGTAACGCCTTCTAGTACTTAGCACGGAGGAAATGTATGCAGGGACTTGGTTAGACAGGTGATGGAGGAGATAATGGTAAGTTGTGGTAGACTGGAAAAACGATCCCCAATTTTTCCTCTCCCATCAATAAATGGAGTCTATTTCTTTACCTCTTGAATCCGGGCGGGTTTTCTGACCTGTTTTGGGAGGTAGCGTTGTTGTATAAGTTCTAAGCTTGGGCCTCAAGAGGTTTTTCCTATTTCTCTTCTCTTTCTGGGTACCAGCTGCCAACTAAATATGCCTGGGCTAGACTGTTGGATGATGAGAGACGCATGGACCCACCATCTCCCCAGATGCCAGCCAGCCAGCTCCCAAAGTAGAGCCCCCTGCTGCCTTGGCAGCTGACTGTGGACGCATGAGCAAGCCCAGCCAGGACCAGCAGAATTGCTCAGCTGATCCCAGTCTAAATTGCTACCTTATGGATTGTGAGCTACAAATAAACGGTGGTTGTTTTAAGCCGTTAAGTTTTGGGGTAGTTTGTTTCACAACAAAAGCGGAGCGTTACGGGAAGTAACCCAGAGATTAGCAACAGCAGGGAGTCACTGCTATGTTAGGCTGTAGAGACAAAGGGAGGAGGCAATATAGCCAGGGCCCAGAGCTCCCAAAAGATGAGGAACGAGGCGTAGACATATCCCATGGAGGCTCAGAGGAACAGAGTAGCTGGAGGAGAGGCAGCTGACTGCAGCAGACAGGGGGAAGAAATACCCTGGCTTTTCGCTTTATCTGCCCTCCAGTCTCCCACCAGGGCCTGCCATCAGCTGAGCTCAGCTGGCAGCCAGTTGGGACGAGAGCCTGGAGATGCAGACTTCAGGAGTCAGCCTTTCTGCAACAGAGAGCAGAGCCGGGGAAGGGCTGGGAATGGATCTGAGGGCAAACAGGCCCAGGACTGACACTACACATCCTTTAGGGGAAAGAAAAGGAAGTGAGTTCACTGATTGAACTTTCAAAACAGCGCAATTGCATTCTCTTCTTTGTGTTTTATTCCCTGCTCAGGAATTTAGCTCAAAATAAAAATGAATTCTAGCAACTGGAGAACTGTGATTGCAAGTGTCTCAACTTTTTACAAAATATTCAACCAAGCTGAATTAGCCTATTTATAAAATGTTGCACCCACAATGCCCCATCAAAACGCAAATCATCAAAACAGCCTGAATGACGCTGGAGTTAGGTCAAAAAACACAGAAGTTTTAAAACACCAATTTGGTTAATTTTAATTCATTCAGCAACCATTAAAAACTTTTTGTATGCCGATCAAGTACAATGAAGGGTGATGCCACAGATTTGCACACACATCTACACACAGATAATTGGAATATAGTACAGATGTTGTCATTGAGGTATGAAGGTGGGGGTCATTTAAGCTGGGTTTTGAAGAATAAGTTAGAGTTCACCAGATGGAAAAGAGAAAGAACAGTTTTTCAGGAGGAGTGTGCAAAGGTTCAGAGACAAGATGTCATATTTAAGAAACTATAAGTACTGTAGCTTGGTGTGGCTGGAACACTGAGTGTGGGAGGAATATGGAGAGAGATGAGGCCATAGATGTGGCAGGGGCTAGACCATAGAGGCCTTAAATGTTGTGCTGAGGAGTTTGCCCTTTATAGGCAATTGGGAGACATCAGTATTTTTATTTTAGTAGATTTTTGAGAATTAAAAATAATACATGGGCACATGTACGGTGACGGATGGTAATTAGTCTTTGGGTGGTAAGCATGATGTAATCTACACAGAAATCGAAATATAACGACGTACACCTGAAACTTATGCAGTATTATAAGCCAATGTTACCTCAATTAAAAAAAAATACATGTTTATTTTAAGGAGCTGAAAGATGACATAAAAGGTGAAAAGAGGTCATGATCTCTGCCCTCTTTTATCCTTGAGGTAGCCAGGGCTAGTAATCAGGACACAGCTTTCTCTTCTCCAGGGTTGGTTGGTTTTCTTATTTGCTGTGGCTTGGAGTGCAAAAAATACACTTATTACTCTGCAACTTGCTTTTTTCCCTTAACAACATGTGGACATCACTCCAGATGAGTTAGATTTAACTCAAATATTTCTTCAGCCATTCTCTTACTGGTGGGCATTCAACTTGTCTGTTTTTAGCAGTTACAATAATATTGTGGTATGCCTCCTTGACGATGAGTCTGGGGATATTGGGCTCTCGTTTCAGTAAAATAGATTCTGGGTCAATGGATGTTTGCATTTTTTATTTTAATGGATGTGTCTCAATTACTTTTTTAATAGGTTGCAGCTATTCCTATTTCTCAACACTGTCAAACAGAACTGGACATTAACACTTTTTCACTTCTAAATTTAGGCAAATGTAATGAATGAAAGAAAGGCTGTATTGGTTTAATTTGCATTTCCTTGACTTCTACTGACACTGAGCATCTGATCATGCTTATTGACAATTTGCATGTTCCCTTATGTGAATTGCCAGCTCATTTTTCTATTCAGTTGTCTTTTTCTTATCAACTGGTAAAAGTTCTTTGAATATTAGTAATTGTTAATTTTTATCCATGTGTTTTGCAAAGGTTCTCATTCCACCTCAGATTATCAGTTGCCTTTTTTTTTTTAAAAGTCTTTTTATTTGGAAATGATTAGAAACTAACAGGGTGTTGTGAAAATGCTAGAGTCCCATGTACCTTCAGCCAGCTTCTCCCAAAGGTAGCATCTTACATAACTATAGTGCAATATCAAAACCTCATTTGTCTTTTGATGTAGTTTATGATATTATTTTGATTTTTATAACTTTATTGTAAATTTCAATATCTAGTAAGGTAAGTCCCACTTCTCCATACTTTTTCATTTTCTTGACTATTCTCAGATTCTTATTTTTTCCATTTGAAATTTAAAATAATTTTAGCCCCTTAATCCCCTTATCTTCTCCCTAAATTTCTCTTGGAATTCTGATTGCAACTCACTTAAAGTTAGATATTAGTTTGCAAGGGATTGACATTTTAAGATATCAAGTTTTCCTATCCAGGAATGTAATATTTCTCTCCAACTATTCAGGCCTTATTTTATGTCCTTTGAGAAGATTTTAGTTTTCTTCGTGTAGATCATGTGCCTTCTAAGAATAATTTATTCATAGGCATGTTACAGTTTTGTCACTAGCATGAATGATGTATTAGTTTCCTTTTGCTGCTGTAACCAATTATCACAAATTTAGCGGCTTAAAAACTGCACAAATTTATCTTAAGTTCTGAAGGTCAGAATGCGTAAAATGAGGGGCTGCAGTCCGCAGCGCTGTGCTCCCACTGGAGGCTCTAGAAGAGTATCCATTTCTTTGCCTTTTCCTGCTGGTCAAGGCCACCTGCATTCCTTGGCTCTTGGCCCCCTCCTTGAATCACTCCCACCTCTGTGTTCATCATCCCATCTACTCTTCTTTGACTCTGCCTCCCTCCTTTAGGGGATGATGATTACATTGGGCTCATCTGGGTATCAAGAGACTCACCTCATTTCCAGGTCCTTAACTTAATCATATCTGCAAAGTTCCTTTCGTCACATAAGGAACATATTCACAGGTTTTGAAGAATAATATGTGGACATCTTTTGAGGGGGTCATTATTCTAGCTACCACTAATGGGATTATTATTTTTAACTCATTCCATGTCTTACTGTTTATTTCTAGCACAAATAAAAATTTATTTTTGTATATTTAACTACTATCTCTCACCTTACCAAAGTTTAATTATTTCAAATAGTTTTTGGTAGAGTCTTTTGGATTTTCTAAATATGCAATCTTATCATGTGGAAATATAATTTTTAGCTCTTCTTTTTCCATAATTTATAGGGATTATTTAATTAAAAATAATAAATAATAATTAACGTATTACATTAGTTGAGGTCTCCAAAGTAACACCAAGAATGATGATTTTGACAGAAATGACTTCAGTATAATATCATAGTTGCTACTGGTTTTTGGTAAATAATCTTTATCATTTTGAAATAGCCTTCTTTTCTGTCTATTGGTGGGAAATGAGCTCACCCCACTTCTCACCTCTTTTGGGGTTGTGGAGGAGGTGGCTATCCGCTCATAACTCTGCGTCCAGGAAGGAGACAAATGGTTTTCTTTCGTTCACTCAAACAGATCAAATCAGCCCAAGTAAATACTTCCATTTCAGGTCTCCTGGGATCAGCAAGACAGGGCACTCCCCACCAAGGACACACAAAGGAACCTCGGTGTCTACCATTCATCTCTTCTCGGGGAACCATATCATCTTTGCCTCAGTCCAGGAAAGGAAGTCCCATAGCTGTCCCCCTCTGGAAGTCTCAGAACAACTCCTAGCCTCGTACACCTTCTAGTTTCTCTCAGAACTCCTATTTTGGTGTTCATGTCACTCGAAGAACAGATTGTAAACGGGAGGGATTGGAGATATTCACTCAGTTTTCCATCTTCCTAGAATCTCCTCAATCATATCACGCTGAAGTTTTGTTTTTGTTTGTTTGTTTTTTTAAAGATTTTATTTTTTTCCTTTTTCTCCCCAAAGCGCCCCCGGTACATAGTTGTATATTCTTAGTTGTGGGTCCTTCTAGTTGTGGCAGGTGGGATGCCGCCTCAACGTGGCTTGATGAGCGGTACCATGTCCGCGCCCAGGATTCGAACCGACGAAACACTGGGCCGCCTGCAGTGGAGCGCGCGAACTTAACCACTCGGCCACGGGGCCGGCCCCCACACCGAAGTTTTGAAGCGGAAGAACAGCTTGATCAGATTTCTGTTTTATAAAGTATTTCTGGAAGAAATAAGTGGTTTCTTAAGTGATTGATTTGAACAGCATCCCAGTTAAAAGACTGTCTGACAAGGAGGACTGTTAAATAAAATATGGCATATCCATGCCGTGTCCACTAGTTAGCTGTCGCTACACCACCAAGGAATCCTCTAATACCAGTCGGGTGTCCCACAATTCAACTCAGTTCAATTCTGACATAATCTACCTGGAGGGAGCATCAAATCCCACAGGCTAAAGGCTCAGTCCTACAAGACTGCCTCTCCCCAACTTCAGAAACCAATTGCAAGTCCAGGCTTGTCACCTGTGCTTCTGACTGAATGGCTGTAGCTGGGAGATTCCCACAACCCCCTCCTTGGGTTTGATTCATTTGCTAGAGGGGCTCACAGAACTCAGAGAAACAGTTTACTTACTAGATCACTGGTTTATTATAAAAAGATGTAACTCAGGAACAGCCAGATGGAAGACAGGCACAGGACAAGGCACATGGGAAGGGGTGAGGAGCTCCCGTGCCCTCTCTGGGTGTACCACCCTCCCAGCACTTCCATGTGTTTACTAACCCAGAAGCTCTTTGAACCTTGTCCTTCAGGGTTTTTAAAAAAATTTTTTAAAAATTTTTTCCTTTTTCTCCCCAAAGCCCCCCGGTACATAGTTGTATATTCTTTATTGTGGGTCCTTCTAGTTGTGGCATGTGGGACGCTGCCTCAGCGTGGTTTGATGAGCAGTGCCATGTCCGCGCCTAGGATTCGAACCAACGAAACACTGGGCCGCCTACAGTGGAGCACGTGAACTTAATCACTCGGCCACGGGGCCAGCCCCTTGTCCCTCTGGGTTTTTATG